AGGGAAAGATAGCTCAATGGAAGCTGTGGGACACTGACTTAATTTAGAGTAAAGCAGATTGCTTATGGTGTTGGTTCTGGGTCTCATCAAAGTTTTGGATTATGGCTATAGGGGTGCCTCACAATAGGGTGCCGGGAACACCCTGGGCACATCTACATGTGTGCATTTACTGTCCAGTAACATACACTATGGCACAGAGCAAGTTACCCCAGGTGGGGTAAGAGAGGCTGGGACAGCACTGGGCTTGTCCCAGCAGCATTCCCTGGGATCCTGGGGGCCTCCCAGTGCTGCAGCACCGGCGATCCTGCATTATGGAGCCTGGCCAGCAGCAGAGGGCAGCTTCAGTCGACCAGGCTCCAGCTTTGGGTGGAGCATGCTGCTGTCACATGTGCATTTTGCTTTTTTTTCCGTAGACTCTTTTGACGCCTGACTTTCCAGGGGTCAAAAAACCCTCTGCACTCCCCCCTTGAAGCACAGAGAACAATGGAATGTGTGGTATGTGACGCTGCAGATATGTCTGCGGTGCCACATACCGCATGACTGTGCTCGTCTGGAGGCAGTCACTAAATATAAATCTGCTCCAGCTTTAGTAGAGGGACATCTGTGCTTGATGTGACTTTTTTTTCTCTCTTTTCCACGCATATATAATGAATACCTGAAAACTCTTGGGATGCGTGTCTTATCTTCCTGTTTTTTCTGGAGAACTGCTGGTGGCTCAATGCTACAGTACAGGTGCATTTAAAATTTTTCATACTAAGTGACTTATCCAATGTAAAATGGTGAAAGAGCCTAAAAAAGAATGCAAGAGATGTGATGGAGCCCTCTATTTAAATTAGCTATATGACAAACTTTCCCTATAGTGATACATTTAAAAAGAGTATTTGCAGCCGTATTATTGTACTTAAATACAGTTAAATTAATGTGGGAAAGTTATGCTCCTTTTGCAGAGCTATAGGCAAGAGAAGCATACTGGACCATGCTTCTTTCCTATGTAGTAGCATACAATAATACAATTAAGGCAAATTCCACTTCTCTGTACTCAACAAGAAGACCACGTTCTAATAAAATTAAAGGTAACTAGAGTTCCTTTTAAAAAGGATACTCAAAGACCAGTAATTTGATAACTGTACAAAACCTGACAGATAGAACAATGGAGGTGGGAGGGAGTCTCAGTGATTTGAGGATGACAAAAGAACAATGTTTACAAAGGACATCTTCAAAAGCATCTCTCTTCAAAAAAAGATTAGTTCTAGAATATAGAAAAAGACCAGATATTTTATTTAATACTCCCAGAAGGTATAAAGAAAGTTAACATAATTACTCTAAAGTTCTTTACCTATTGAAGAACTATTGTTTGAAAAGCCTTCTTTTGAGAAATTGAATGAGCAGAGTGCCAGTCTCTTTTTATTTACTCAAAGATGATAAAATAATAGCTCTTTCTAGCAAGACAAGAACAACTCGATCAATTAACAAATTAGAAGTGGGAGATAATGAAAGTTCCATTAAGGGAAAATGAAAACACAGTTTCAAAATAATTATTTTTAATGTAATTTTAATTTTAATTGTTAAGGAAATTAAAACAAACTTCATACAGTAAGGATGAAGAAAAAAGATTAAGAACTAAATTTGATGTTATCTAAGCTGAAAATTAAACACAATGATAAAATTCCCTTGGTTTGGGGGGGTTTTCTGTTTTGTTTTGTTTTTAACTTGGGGAAGGAAACGTATTATTTGACCTTCAAATCCCAGAACTTGAATGAATCTCTCTCTTCACACAAATTGCTTGCAACCCCATTGACCAGTGAAATATTGTTCTTCCCTGAAACATTTATGTTCTTAAAGGTTTATTTCAAGATAAAAACACAGTTCTACAAAGTTTTTATCTTTCTACAATTATAAAGGTGACCTTCACTTACATTTTAAATGCTAGGCTTGTGTTTTGTTTTTGTTTGGGTTTTGTTTTTTTTAGGGGGGCGGAGGGGCTTTTTGTTTGTTTGTTTTACCCCCTCTGTGGCATATTGGAGGAATGGGCAACCTTCCCTTTCTGTTTTATTTTCTTTGTTGATTTTTATCTCCAGATATGTCAGAAAAGTCAAGTCTTGCGTCTCTGGGTTCATTTAAATAGTCACTTTTATTAAAAACTATATAAAGGATGCTTATACATTTGGACTTTATGCACCTTACACATATGTGATACAGAGACTTAGGTTTTTGATGAGCAGGACAAAGGTATAAATAAACTCTCTAACGGTTTTTTTCAGGTTTTCAAATTCAGTAATTCTTCCTTTGCTCTTGTTAATCTGTTTTAGCACAAAGTGTTTTAGCACTCTCAAGTGTTTGCTGTACCATTTCCTCAGTCTGGGATATCCACTTGTAATGATTCTAAAGAAGAATATTAGGCTGGTATCGGTATTTATTTCACATGATTGTGATCATAGCACATACACTTTCACCTCAAGTGAAAGAGTAAAAAGCCTTCTGATGGGATGACATATGTTGAACGCTGAGTATTTGTTTTGTATTTGGTGGTATATATTTTGGTGGTAACTGAACTGGAATTAAAGCCAATAGCCCATCTAGTAAATAGAATCGTGCACTGAAAGCAGGGACCTTTGCATTTTTCCCCCAACATGTTACAATTGCATTTAAGTTGAAAGAAATCTGAAGTCTATGGGCTAGATATGCAAAAAAAAATAAAAAACTAGGTCAGGTGAGTGGGTAGGTCATTCATCCTTCAATAGGTAGAGAAGCACAGGATGCATCTGTTCTAGGGATGAATCAAGACTGAGTAAAGAAAGATTTGTCTGTAAGACTTCTGCCTCATTTTTGCAGAATTTGGAAGAATTCAATGTACTGAATGAGGCAGGGGGTTGCAAGAAGAAAAAAGATGGTGTTAGAACTATGTAAGTTTAGCATTGCTCTAGAGACCAGCTCTGTGCTTCTGTATCTGGCTTCTTACACGACCCTGGGCAAATATTTTAAACCAGGTTTGTTACAAGTTGTTACTGATTGTGAATGCCCAATTTTTGGTTTCATTACTGGGTATTTCTTTCAATACTCAATTTGAAAGCTGAGGTCTGATTTGTGGAAGCAATGGCCTCTTACTGCTGTGACTGAAGAGAATGAAAACTGCCCTTTAGACATAATTTACCTGGTAGATATGCCACCCAATATTACTGGAAACTTATGAACCTAACCTTTGTGTGTCAGTTCATCTGCAATATAGAAAAAATACATCGCCTCACCAAAATGAGTTACATGAAAGTAAGTTAATGTATATGAAGCACAAACAATGAACACCACAAGAGTCCCGGAGGAAAATATTCAGCCCCTGTTGTGAAGACACACAGGGCATTTTTACATGTGTTTTCAGCGCAGCTCCAGGTGCTTTAATTAATGAGCTGTGGTAATTAAAAGTGCCCACATGTGATGTGCATCAGCATCACATCCACCACACTAAAAAAATGGCGGCAAAGTGCTTTGAACTAAAGCTTATCCGACATGTTTTATTTCAAAGCGCACTGCTGCCATTTTGTCAGTGTGGAGGTGCGTGGTGACACTGATGCACGTGATGTGGGAGGGTGCCAGAGTGCGTCCATTTCCCCGCTCCAGCAGACTCAATTAATCTGAAATTTCAGCGTGTCGGAACAGTTTCCCCACATGTGTGTAGGCGCCCACACATACCTGCTGTTGAAACACCTCACAGTGTGCAGTAAATTAAACATTTACACACCCTCTGAACATTAAGGGTGTCTTTACATGCGTCTCAGGGTGGGGAGGGAGTGTTTTAATTAGAGTGGCTCTCTGGAGCTGCTCTAATGAAAGCACCTGCAGTGTCTCATGTATTCAGCATCTCACACTTCAAAAAGGTGGCAGGGGCATCTTAACTAAAGCTCGTTTGACAAGCTCGTTTGAAGTGTAGGGACACTGAATACATATGACACTGAGGCTGCTGGAGCATGCTAAATAGAATGTCATCTGAGCAGGCATCAGGCACATGTATAGGTGCCCTAAGAGAAAAACAAAATATTGAACAACTGAGCAGCATATATCCAATGCACCGGATAGGGCAGGTGTCCTTTATGAAATAAATTATATGAGTCAGGCAATGAAAGATTATGAATGTGCGTGCGCGCGCACACACACACCCACACACACACACACACTCTTTTGCATAGCCTTTTTGTATATGCTTATTTTACATAGCATACAACGATCTCTTATCTTATGTAAGATAAACAATCCCAGTTTTTTTCCTAGAAGCTTTCCATGCCCTAAAACAAGGTTGTTAAATGTGTGACCCCTAGGCCAGATCTGGCCGGCAGAACAGGACAGTGGGAATCCAGGGATGGGGTTTGCCATTAAAATATAGTGTCTGGAGCTCTGCCGGAGTCACACGTTGACAGTAGCAGGCACATTACAGCTGTACTAAACCCCTGTGGCCATCACTCGCCTTGCCACTGTATCCAAATCCAGTCCATGAGGAGCCCTGTGGTCCAGATCCAGTCTGGGAGCACATGAGAATTTGACAGCCAGCCCTAAATAATTTTCATCATCCTGCTAAGGACACCTTCACATTGTTCAATATTCTTTTTGGCCCCCTGTCCAACCATGTCTCTCATGTATCTTTTTAAGACATACACTGTTAATTAGGAACCCTGCCAAGCCAACAAAGATGCTCAGTCCCCAGTCTTAATTAGGAAACCTGCCAAGCCAACAAAGATGCTCAGTCCCCTTTAAAGTCAATAAGAAGTGTGTTGTTCACTTCTATAGGTTCAAAATTGGACCTAAGTGAAAGAGACAATAAATCAAGCGGTGCATTTGTGTTAGGTTTGCATTAAGCAAGAATGACAGAATGCTTATGCACGAGAATTTACACCGTTTAGGCAGAAGAGATTGATCACTCAGCTTACACTATGGAAGAGAAGCTGTTAAATAGCAGAACTCCAAATAGTTGTTTTATTGAAGAAGCATTTTAGATAAGTGAATGAATAAAAAGCACATACCAGACACACATTAATGTTTGTAATGTAAGTATTTTAAGTTTTCCCTTCCCTCATGAATGCCTCCTTTTAACCAATTTTAAATATTATTAAGGATTTTGGCTGGCTTCACTTTCTCAACATACATGTAATTTCCAGTGTATTGCTGATATTAGATGACATTTGTGTGTCAGTTCTGCCATGCTTTAATTGATTTTGTTCAGTAACAGGATTTGTTCACCTCATTCTAAATGATACTCGATCTAAACATCCTCTTAAGCCTTCTCCTGAAAAACTCTAAGTTGCACAAAACAGTCCTTTGAACTTTCTTATGAAATTGTTGTCATAAATTGTAGTCGTTTGTGCTTGATCTTTCCATTGATACCTCCTTGCACTAATGCTATTCACTCTTGTAATCATCTGGTTTAATTTTAAATTTCTGATTCATAGTTTCCTCATAATATGCACATGCTATTGCCTTAGAGAATCATCTGTCAGCTATCCCAAAAACCCTAAAACCTGAGTACTCCACCCCACCTTGGCCCCAGTCACTACCTCCCTGCCCAAACCCCAACACAAGCAGATCCTCCTGCCACACACAACCATTCATCTCTACCACTACTCACAAATAGATACAAGAAATCTCTTTCCTCCACTGCTCCCCCCCACCCCCCACAGCCCCACCTGACCCCCAGGAGAGAAGCCCCCACCCCTCTCCGGTATCTCCTCTAAGCTTGCACCCCATTTTCT